ATTGCTCTGTTTCCTGAAATACGATCAACATTTTCAATGATAATTTACATCATCTGGAAACATTACACGTATTTATATTGTAGATTAGATTAAACCTTACACTTCTCTTATTTAGAATCTACCAATATATAACATGACAGATCCTTTTTTTATTTGATCGTAATTTGATCACGTGACATAGGACGTGTCGTAATAAGCATGAGGTGATGTAAAGATCACAATTGTGAAAGTTCAATTACGTATTTTAATGTTGATACTAAATTCTAACTGCACACAAATTCATTAAAAAAGTTCAACTAATGGTATTATTTTACACTAAATGCAAATGTAATCGCTCTGAAGATCAATTCGTTTGGAATGGCGTTCGTCACAAGATATATAGAAAGTACAAAGAGAACTATAGCCAAAAGAATAATCATAACAATAATCAAAATGAGCTCATATTGCCAACTAAAACCAATCATGAACTAAGCCAACATGAGAATACGGAATTTTCTCCTAATCTTTCAGATAAATCTCATAATACAGATAAATTATTGCAAGACACGAAGAAAGTACTTCATGAATTTGAGGAAGAATATAGCGTGAAAAATGATATCAATAATATAGATGCAATAGAAAACTCAGTAGTAGAATATATAAGTGATATCACACACACTGAGATCGATTATTTTGATTTGGGAAACTTTATTGAACATGAAATCCAAGAACTCACAGTTGGCGCTCAAATTGATAGCGTAGCAGATATAGTTTATCAAACTCACTTGCTAGTACGTTTTGATATTGCTATAGCTCAAGATAAGACAGCGAAGAATATTGCTGATCTTGTTATCACTGAAATTGAGAGCAGAGATGATTACTTGTGGAAGTAAGTATCTCTCAATATTAAAATACATTACAGATATTACTTACCATTATTATAGCTTTAAAAAAGCAGAATTATCAAGAAAATTTGGAAGCACAGTTGGTCAGTTCTCTTACATGTGCTGTCAATTGAAAGAGGTATAGAGAGAGGAGCACAAAGATTCTAATTATAAGAGATGAATGCGTTATGATTGTAAAGGTAGGATTGCAATATGAGTTGATATGATCCTCAATATTATAACTATAGATATCTATCATGGATCTCTTCATCCATGCCCAAATCTCTGCATCGAAATACCTAAAGAACTGCAGCAAGAAATCAAAACAAACTCACATCTTATCATGGTAGAATTAAAGAACCATCTGTGAAATAAGGGTTTTGATATCTCGAAGTACTCTTCCAAATGCATTTATTTTTGGAAGTCCATGGTGAGCCGGGAACTATTTTAACGTGATGATAATCATGTTGAATCTGCGTGTAAGCTGCTTAGTAAGCATGTAAGTCAAGGCTTTTACTGGTACCTAAATATAAAAGATTCGGAAGCTATAACCATCAGTTTCACCACTCTGTTACTGGAAGAGATTAAAAATCACAACATCAATATCACTGAAATCTATCTTGATGCAATCTATAAAACCGCACAAGAACGTTATGAACTTTATGGTATTATAGCAGATGTTGAAGGCACTAGCTTTCCAATCACCTATCTCATACTTGATATGACCAAGGCAATGAATACAAATACTAGCATGGGCAGGTGTTGCAAAGTCTTAGAAAGTTTCTTAGAAATCATAAAGGTACGCAATATTAATCCAAAATTCGTATTCACAGATAAAGATTTCGTGGAAATTAATGCTATGGCTAAGGTGTGGAGTTCTTCGATAGTTCAGCTATGTGCTTGGCACATGAACCAGACCCTTAAACTTAAACTCAAAGAGAAAGTCAAGCTGTTAGATAATGTAGAGAATGCAGAACACAAGTTATACATTGCAACTTATAATATCAATCAAGTGACTAGTGAGTTTAATTTTATAGAACTCACCTTTTTCCTAACAGAAGAAGATTGCAATCCAAGAATATATACTATCTGTCCACCAGCATATCGAGAATTGATTTTGAAGATGATGCAAAAACATTTTGATATGCATTCTTTGATACCTATTGATGCTCAAGGAAATTCTGTGACACCAAAAAATATTAGAGAACATGCTGTAAAAGAGATTTATTAGTTCTGCGTTGAAAACTCATTATGTCTATTATGGGTCTATTTATGGACTAACTGGTATTCACCAGAATGATGGCATCTGTGGGCACGATCAACTAAACCTACTATACCTTTTAGTAAAATGACGATGATGATTGAAGCCTACTGGAGTATTATCAAACAATATTATCTATACTGATTTAATCATCCTAGACTCGACCTGTTGCTTTGGACACTTTTTAACGAGGTAATACCAGCACAAAAAGAGTGGCTTTTGCAGATTCTGACTGGTGTGGTGGCATCATGGTGGTGGGAGGATTTCAAGAAAGCATGGCTTGTTGCAGGTTCAAGTAACGATCAGCATATTAAAGGCAAAAGAAAACGAGATATCACCAAAAAAATAAATAGTTTATATTTTACTGATATTGCTTGTTGGGTCTGCAGCTGCCCTGCCTTTCTTAAAAATCACTTCTTATTATGCAAGTATTTAGTTTAGCAAGTTTTTCTTACATCTGATGGTGAACGACGATGATTGTTGAAAAATAATATCAAATGCCGGACCACCCCACCATTTCTTGTTCTAAAAAATATTGATGATGAAACTAGCAATCTTTCTGTTTTACCAATTGATGATTCCATTGACCTTGAAGCCACTATCAACAACACACCCAGTAACGTTAATATTAATGAAGATCCTGAAGAAGAAGACCGTGATTATGTTGAATCAAATTGGTTGTTATTTGAACAGGTGATCAAGTGAATTTGCAATGAAAAGTCAGCTAATAATTGGCATCAGGTTCACGCAATAATAGAAGGGAGCTGATTAATATTAATAGAGAAAGAAATACAGACTGTAGAATAATGGAGACATCGACAGGTGACTTGGATGACGGCAACTAGAAAATCATATCTTATGTATTTGTCCTCCTCAGATGAGTTGAGTCATAAATCGAGTTTGGAAGAGAGCGTGTCAGCCAATGATATTGAAGTGCAGAATATGTAATGAGATTAATAGAAAACTGTCTAGGAGAATTTCATTTTTTTAATATTAAATATGAAGCAAAGTAATAAAACACTTGTATGTATACTATTGGTTAGATTTTCATTATTACATTAGTCCGAAATTTTGTATCACCTAGGATCGGAGAAGCCGGAACCGATCAACGAAGTCACGTGGCCGAACTTTTGGGGGTCGCGCTGGTAGACTCTGATAATAATGATATTGATATCCATACAAGTACATTTTACATTTATAAATTCATGTACATGTACATTAATAATCACTTGATCATCTGATGGTATTAAAGTAATACTAATGATATTCGTATTAATTAACGAGCTTATGATTCAGACTTAAAAGCTAGTGAAGAAACATAGCTATCTCCAATATTATAATCACTTGTTAAATTATTTTGTTTATTATTTTCTGCTAAGTTGTTATGTGTTAATTGATTTTGTTTTCTTCTATAATTGTTAAATAAAAAGGCTATGGAACCTGCAAGTATAATCATTAAAATTGGTCCAACTGTGGAAAAAAAATAATAATCTTTTGTTATCATTATTAGTAACAGTTAGTCTACAAGGCAAACTCGTTAAGATGAAGCCACACTAAGTCGAAATTGCATTAAGCCGAAGTTTTTCTGGTTTACCAAATTTTTTATTATATATAAATTCTGCTTTGTGCGAAATTTAGTAAAACAAAAATCTCAATAAGCCGAATAAATTGTCTCTGCCCCCGACCTTCGTCTTATCGAGTTTGTCTTGTATGAGAGCTGGTGCAGGTGTCATTGTTGAATTGAGACTTGAGACTTTGTGTTTGAAGTTCTGTTAGAGTTTCATAGTTATCAACCCATGTATAATCTTTAAAGTCAAACACTCTGATAACTTTTCTATTAAGAATTTAGTAAAAAATATCCTTAGATTTTAGAGAAAAAAATTAATACAAGTTTTAGCTTTTAATAATATCGAACGACGTGCCGTACTTCTTATCAAAACATACAAACATATATTTATTATATATGACAGTTGTAAGTTGCAGATACATGTCAACATTAGGCTTACAATTTCTGAAAATTCGAACGTTTTCAAGTCTAAGGTAATCAAATAATCTGCTGGAATTTCAGAGCTATTTGATTTTGTGCCACCATAAATGATAATGCTTTGATTTTAGGGTGATATTAACAGCTATTTTTCATAAATATTTATTTCAAATAATAATTAATTGATTTATTATTACTAAAATACTTCCTTACTCAAGACGGCCGAATGAGCATAACGATTACTTATAAATGAATTACTTGTTGTATTCTAGAAATTAATTAAATTGGTTATTATAAAAAATAATTATATCTCTTCACAAAGCTCGCTTACTTTTATAGTCCATGGATTATTTATATCGAGTGTATCATGATCAAAACCTTTAAAAGAAAATTTAAATACTGTACTGTATTTAATATAATAAAAGGAAGGAATATAATGTATGTAATACTTCGTGAATATCCACACATATTGCATTAAGTTGGTTTAAAAAAAGGTACCAATAAAATAAATTTTGTCATCATTAAAAGTTCGATCATTGCGCAGGAATATTAGAAGGAAGAATTCGACTCCATGTTGAGTTAAAAATATCAAATATATATATGGCTTATCTTCCATTTACTGCAGCAGTTTGCCCACGCCAGATATAAAGTTTTCCTTAGTCATCAAAAATTGATTTATAATCGCAGCTTTATCGTGTCGACATGTATTTCGTAATTACATGTACATGTAATTTTGACTGTACTAACAATCAGCTTTCTGTGAAAGTATTTGTACATGTATATAGAGCATAACGATAATGTACTATCCGTAAAATAAAACATTCATCTCAGATAAAATGGAAAAACTTGGAAGAAATCATGCATAAAATCCATAGTGAGAAATACTCGTATCATGCTAATCAACAAAGAATTTTGTGCTGAAATTGAAAAAAGTGTGTTGAGTGGGTATCGAACAATTTTGTCGTTGAAATCGAGAAATGACTCAATAAACGTGAATGATGACTCAATAAATGAGAATGAATTGCTGTTGGGAGGGTTGTATATTTATGTGAAGGGCATTGTCAACATTGGAGAAAGCTGTAAAGAAGGCTGCGAATCCATCGAATGATGTTAGCATTATTTGTCTTTATGAAGAAATGCAATCACTTTAGTATTACAACATATGCTAATTTTTAAAACTTTTACAGTTGCAAAAATTGAATCATACAAGCTTTAAAATGCTCTTGAGCGACCTCCAGACGTAGTAGTCAAAATACTAACACACTCAAAAGCGTCACCGAAACCACAGCCACAGGACTCTACGTCTATTCCTGAAATAACTCCAGAACCACCAGAAACAACAAATCAAATATTAATCACTGCGCAACCAGTTCAAAATGCGTCACCACCACCGTATTTTCCTTGACTGGGTTTTACTATTCGTGACAAGTATCAGGAAACTAGGTTTGAACGGCCAAAAAAAGGATTCGAAAAAAAATGATAGACTGGCTGAATTCTGCTATTTGAAATTTTTTACAATTATAAAAAACCATACAAATGCAATTTACACTGTAAATGCAAAGTATTCAGCTTCTAACCATCGTTATTTTAGATAGATTTGATAAAGTTTTCAACTTCCTTAGCGATTAGTCTATTCTCTGGAATAGGATCCCAATATTTTTCAACGACAAATTTGTATGGTTCCGTTCATCAAATGGACATTCAACTATTGCAATTTCGTACCAAAGCTATAAACATCGCGGCGGTGTATGGCTTTCCATTAGTATCTCTGTGCTCATATTCCATAAATTTCTTCGTTAGTTTTTTCTTTATTTGTTGCAAAATATTCAACGTTAGTAAATCTTCAAAAGAAGCCATTCGAATAATTTACGTTTATATTATTCGTTTTACTTCATTCTTCTATTAGATTGTCAATGTCAATATCTCTGATAGACAATTCATCGTTATAATTCGTTTGAGATATTTTGAGACATCTACTATAATCATGATGAGTATTTGATTCCATTATTGAGTTTGCTTTTACATTTTATGTGGGTACATAGCGAAACCCGTCAAATGTACATGCAATTGGACTTTTGTGTGTAGACGATCTATTAATAAAAAATCGGGTCTATCCGAACCTGTCGGATTATACCGTTTCGGATCTGATGCAAACCCGAAACGAACCGATTTTTTCGGATTGAAAAATCACAATCTGAACCGGGAACGAAGTTTTAGATCCCGTTCGTGTCACGGATTTATCCGAACTTTATACATGTATATGATTCCATAATGTTAATTAAAAATGTTCGATATAAAGATGAAATTATTATTTTAAATTGAATTTTGCATAAGACAGTTAAACATATAAGGCTTTAGTATGTGGAGGGAGTAATTTTTAATTTTTAGATGTACAGGTGCTCGATAAATTTCTAATTGTAATATTAGCACGAAGGGATTACCTATTGCTTGTACAGTCACTACGACAAATTTATGCACCTTTTTGTTGTTTAAATGAACAAAATACTAATTTTATTGAAGTTATGAGTGCCAACAAGCTGCAAGAAGAATGTGCCATAATCCTATGATAATATAATGGTCTCTTGCCAAGCACAAAAGAAATAGGAAAACAAAAATTTACCAGGTCTGAGAGAACATGATAATTCAGCAAATAAAACTTAGAAAGAAGTCACGAAATAAGTTCAAATAGAGAAAATCAACGATTAATGTATTTTCGAGTCCTAACTTCATAGAAATGTCAGAAAGTCATTGGAGAACAATATGTAAAGTGTAAAAGATTTCTAAGGCTCGTGAAAAAGCTCAAAGCTGCTCTAAAGGAAGCATAATCAAAATTCGATGTATTGGTTTTTGAGGGAGATCATAGGCTTAATGTCTCAAGAAATCAAAGGGATATTAAAGTTAGGTGAAGGACTAATGATGTATTAATTAGTGGTAAAAAAGATTTATAATAAAATATGTATCTGAAATTTTATTTTAAAAAAAAGCGTTACTTTTGTGGCGACTGTAACATTGAGTTACACATCTCCCCTCCCAAATTATCAAAAATTAGGATACATGATCAATTATTTTGTTTTCAGCAATTTACACATATATATCAAATAAAATAATATCAAATTAATAATTAATCGGTCTTTCATTTGACTCGAATACTGTAATAATCTTTCTTAGCATTAGTGCAGTCTTGAGTTAAAACACAAGCTTCAGAATGGCCTTGTTTTTTTAATGTTGTCCTTCAACAACTTCTAAGATTCAGGTCTAGTGATTCGAATACAGGTTGATATTTGTAATTTTACTTTCACAAAAGAAGTTACATTAAACTTCGCTTCAGTGAGCCTTTTAACTCTTGTTTATCGTGACTTCTTATCAATTTTCAGACACTTGTCTCATAAGAACATACATGTTCATCGAAAGAACGATAACGATAACGATAAAATGTTGCACATAGCGACAGAATTCATACATGCATGTACATGTACTGTACATGTACTCACATACGTAACGCATATGTAATGGACAACGAGCATTTCTCGTTCGTTTTCTATCATTTCAACCAATTCTCAATTTATAAAGTGAAATTAAGAATGGAATCGAACATTCATCATTGTAGTAAATGTTTCCATTGTCGAAATAATAGATATTGCGAGGAGTGCTTAGTTCAGAATACTCATGATTGTAGTAAATGTAATGATTGTCAAAGCAAATTTGAGCACTGTGGTGACTGTTTCAAATATCACAAACGAATTTATAACGAAGAAATGTTTAGCGGAGATAAAGATATTGATAATCTCATAAAAAAATGCAACAAAATTAACCATTTTTATAAAAATATATTTGAATGGATTTATTTTGAAAGATTTACCAATGTTGAATATCTTACAAACGGAGATTTTGGGTCTATTTATAAAGCAACCTGGTTGGATGGACCAATGCTGTATGATAATGACAATCTCATATGGGATCATGAAGAAAATAAATTTAAACGACGGGGAGAAAGTAAAGTTGTGCTTAAATCCTTACATAACTCAAAGGAAATTGCTCAAGAGGTAAAAATAAACATTTTCTAAAGTAAAAGTTAATTTTTGTTTTTAATAAAAAAAATTTTTCAAAAATAGATTCAAACGGGGCTTGAATGCTATGATTACGGCAACCTGTTAACATACTATGGAATGACTAAAAACTCAGTTACAAACGATTACTTGATTGTGATGCATCCATTCTATGCTGAACTTCAAAAATATAAAGTGAGCATAAAGACGGAATCAAATTTTCAATATTGCAATGAATGTTTGCGTTGTCAAAAAGACAAGTACTGCGATGAATGTTCAATTCATAATATTCATAATTGCAGTAAATGTACTATATGCCAACAAAATAAATACCAATGCAATGACTCCCTTGAATATCACAAACGGATTTATAACGAAGAATTGTCTAGCGGAGATAAAGATATCGACGTTCTAATAAAAGAGTGTAACAAAATTAATTATAAATATAAAAATATATTCGAATGGATTCCTTTTGAAAGATTTACCAACGTTGAACATCTTGCAAAAGGAGGTTTTGGGTCAATTTGTAAAACAACCTGGCTGGATGGACCAGTATGGTATGATGATCATGATGGCTATGAATACTTTTTCAAATGGAATCTTGACGAAAATAAATTTATACGAGATGGAGAAAGAAAAGTTGTGTTAAAATCATTACACAATTCAAAGCAAATTACTCCAGAGTTTATACACGAGGTAAAAATATTTATAAAGTGAAAGTTATTTTGCTTTCTGATACAATCACTTTTAAAAATAGATTCAAATTGGGCTTAAATGTTATGATTACGGCAACTTGATATCGTATTATGGAATAACTAAAAACCCAGTCACAAACGATTACTTGATAGCAATGCATCCATTCTATGGTGAACTTCACAAATATAAAGTGGACTCAAAGGAATCAAATACTCATGATTGTAGTAAATGTACTAAATGTCAAGTTAAGGATACATGCGAAGACTGTGTCAAATATCACAAACAAATCTATAACGAAGAGTTGTCTAGTGGAGATAAAGATATGGACAATCTAATAAAAGAATGCAACAAAATTGATCATAAATATAAAAATATATTCGAATGGATTACTTTTGAAAGATTTGCCAATGTTGAGCTTCTTGCAAAAGGAGGTTTTGGGTCAATTTATAAAACAACCTGGTTGGATGGACCAGTATTGTATGATGATTATGATGAATACTCTCTCAAATGGAATCATGAAGAAAATAAATTTATACGAGATGGAAAAAGAAAAGTTGTGTTAAAATCATTACACAATTCAAAGGAAATTACTCCAGAATTTATACATGAGGTAAAAACATTTTCTAAATTGAAAGTTTCTTTTGTTTTCTGATACAATCTGTTTCCAAAAATAGATTAAAAATGGACTTAAATGCTATAATTACGGTAACTTGATATCATATTATGGAATAACTAAAAACCCAGTTACAAACGATTACTTGATAGCAATGCATCCATTCTATGGTGAACTTCACAAATATAAAGTGGACTCAAAGGAACCAAATACTCATAATTGTAGTAAATGTTACTCATGTCAAAATAATCGAGACCGCGATCAGTGTTTGGTTCACAATACTCATGATTGTAGTAAATGTACTGTTTGTCAAAATAAATATGAGTCCTGCGGTGACTGTTTCAAATATCACAAACGAATTTATAACAATGAATTCTCTAGCGGAGATAAAGATATCGACAATCTAATAAAGGAATGCAGCAAAATTAATTATGAATATGAAAGTATATTTGAATTGATTCCTTTTGAAAGACTTATCAACGTCGAATATCTTGCAAACGGAGATTTTGGGTCAATTTATAAAGCAACCTGGTTGGATGGACCAGTATTTTTTTATGAATATTATCGCCATGAATTCTCGCCCAGATGGGATCATGAAGAAAATAAATGGAAGCGAAAAGGAGAAATAAATGTTGTGTTGAAATTATTACATAATTCTAAGCAAATTACTTCAGAGTTTATAAACGAGGTAAAAAATTAACATTTTCTAAAGTGAAGGCTGTTTTTGTTTTCTGATACAATCAATTTTCAAAAATAGGTTCAGACTGGGCTCAAATGCTATGATTACGGCAATTTGATAGCATATTATGGAATGACTAAAAACCCCAGTTACAGACGAATACTCAATAGTAATGACTTATGCATTCTATGGGGATCTTCACAAATACATGTATAAAGCGAACTCAAAGATGGAAGCGAATACTCATCCTTGTAATGAATGTACTGATTGTCAAAGGAATAGATACTGCGATGAGTGTTTAGTTCACAATACTCACGATTGTAGTAAATGTAATGATTGTCAGGGTAATTGGAGATGCGAAGACTGTTTCAAATATCACAAACAAATTTATAATGATGAATTGTCTAGCGGTGATAAAGATATCGACAATCTAATATAAGAGTCCAATAAAATTAATTATAAAAATCGAAATATATTCGAATGGATTCCTTTTGAAAGACTTACCAACATTGAATACCTTGCAAAAGGAGATTTTGGGTCAATTTATAAAGCAACCTGGTTAGATGGACCAGTATTGTATGTTGACTATCGCTATGATAACTCGCCCAGATGGGATCATGAAGAAAATAAATTTATGCGACAGAGAGAAAGAAAAGTTGTGTTGAAATCATTACACGATTCAAAGAAAATTACTCAAGAGTTTATAAACGAGGTAAAAAAATGAACATTTTCTAAAGTGAAAGTTCTCTTTGTTTTCTGATACAATCAAATTTTTCAAAAAAATAGATTCAAACGGGGCTTAAATGCTATGATTATGGCAACCTAATTGCATATTATGGAATAACTAAAAACTCAATTACAAACGATTACTTGATAGTAATGCATGCATTCTATGGTGAGCTTCTCAAGTATATAGTGAATTCTAAGATGGAATCAAATACACATCGTTGTAATGAATTTGATTATTTTTACGACGATAATTGGTACTGCGATGAGTGTTTAGTTCAAAATACTCATGATTGTAGTAAATGTACTGAGTGTCAAGAAAATAAATATTGCTTTGCCTGTATCAAATATCACAAACGAATTTATAATAATGAAATATCAAGCGGCGATAAAGATATCGACAATCTACTAAATGAATGCAATATTAAATATTATAAACTATTCGAATGGATTTCTTTTAAAAGATTTGCCAACGTTGAATACCTTGCAAAAGGAGATTTTGGGTCAATTTATAAAGCAACTTGGTTGGATGGGCCAATATATTGGGATCATGAATTTAATAAATTTATACGAAGAGGAGAAATGAAAGTTGTATTTAAATCATTGCACAATTCAAATCAATTTGCTCAAGAGTTTATACACGAGGTAAAATGAATATTCTCCAAAGTTAAGCCAGTTACTTTTTTCTAATACATCAAGTTTTCAAAAATAGATTCGAACTGGGCTTAAATGCTATGATTATGGAAACTTGATAGCATATTATGGAATGACTAAAAATCCAGTTACTAACGAATGCTCGATAGTAATGCATGCATTCTATGATGAACTTCACAAATATAAAGTGAACTTAAAGATGAAACCAAATACTCATCATTGCAATGAATGTATTAATTGTCAAAAGAATAGATACTGCGATGAATGTTTGGTTCATGATATTCATGATTGTAGCAAATGTACTACATGTCAAGAAAATTATGAGCCCTGCAGTGACTGTTTCAAATATCACAAACAAGTTTATAACGATGAATTGTCTAGCGGAGATAAAGATATCGACAATTTAATAAAAGAATGCAACAAGTTTAATAACAATAATAGATATATATTATTCGAATGGATTCTTTTTGCAAGATTCACCAACGTTGAATATCTTGCAAAAGGAGGTTTTGGAACAATTTATAAAGCAACCTGGTTGGATGAACCATACCACAAATGGGATCATGCAGAAAATAAATTTAAACGAGAAGGAAGAGAAAAAAGAACAAGAGTTGTGTTAAAATCGTTACACAATTTAAAGCAAATTACTCCAGAGTTTAAACACGAGGTAATAAATGAATGTTTTCTAAAGTGAAAGTTGCGTTTTTCTTATTTAATTAAATTTTTCATAATAGCTACAGTCTGCTCTTAAATGCAATAATCATAATTCTGTTGCATATTACGGAATAACTAAAAACTCCATTACAAATGAATATTCGATAGTGATGGATTTTGCAAAAAGGGGCGATCTCCGTAAATATATTAATTCCAACTACAGAAAATTAACTTGGAAAGGCAAATTAAGTTATTTAAATGATATTATCAGAAATCTGGCAAAAATTCATGGAGAGAAGCTTGTACATCGTGACTTTCATCCTGGAAATATATTAATATCGAACAAGACTTGGTTTTTAACTCCTTGGAATATTCCTCAAATTGCTGATTTTGGACTTAGCATTCAAGCAGATATAAAAAAATATAATCAGGAAATTTGTGGAGTACTTCCCTATATGAGTCCCGAGGTGCTAAATGGGAATCCATACACTACCGCTGCAGATATTTACAGTTTTGGCATGGTTGTGTACGAAATTATAACAGGTGAAAGACCATTTGGAGAGCGAAGTCATGATTATTATCTTGTATATGACATCCATAAAGGAATACGACCTATGATTCCAAATACTATTCCCGGATTATATAAATTTATTATTGAAAAATGTTGGGATCCTATTCCAGAAAATAGACCAACTGCTGAGGAACTACAAGACTTTATCTGGTCTATCTACTATATTAAAGATGCCATTGAAAACGATTGGGAGTTCAAACTTAATAATTTGCATGTTGAGTACTACAATTGTTTAAAATATCCTAAAACAGATGGAGAAATTAAAGAGCTTCTTAAATTAGAACAGCAGAAATGGAAAGGTCTTGAAGAGATAGAACAAAAGAGTATTTCTACGAATATAAATAAAAAACGACAAATTCACCCAAATGCAGTTTACACCAGTCGAATCTTTACTTCAAAATCAATTTCAACTCTAATTGATATAGGAGGTACGAATATTTATTGTTATATTCAAACAAAATGAATTTCAGATTGATTTTAAATATATTTAGGTTCTACAAGTGTTCGTTTATTTGTTCCAAATGAAGGTAAATTTACATTTGATATTCTTTTTACTAATTTCTTTATTAATTTCTTTGATAAAAAATAGATTTCGATATTAGTATACCGCACGAAATTAAAGGCAATGAGGACTTGCAAGAAAATTGATGATGAATCATCAAAGCAAAAAAAATGTCTATTAAAGAGCTTTAGAACAATATTCTGCTTCATAAAAAAATTTGTAGCTGATTTTTAATGATAATTTTAATTTTGTTAGTCGCATATGATTTTTTTGTTTATCATATACATTGTATAAACTTTCAAAAAGAGAATAAGGATAATACTTTAATTGCATTTTGTTAGCTATGCTATTGATAGAGCAAAAAATTTAGTTCCACAAGTAACGATAATGTATCTTAAATTTGTCTTGATTAAGACAAAAAAAGGAAAAAATATAAAGAAGCGATAACCACATATAAAATCTGTGAACAGAAATAACACGTAAACACTTGTTATACATGTGCATGTGCATATAAATTTGGCGTTAATTTTATTTCGCATCTCGAAGTTACACGTGTAAAGATTTGTCAGTTCGATAAAATATAAGAAAGTTTTTAAATGACTGTCTTATATAGAGTTGTATATTTGTTGGTAAAGTTATCAGTAACAACATGGCGGTTATTAAGAAATTAATATCCTATAATAAAATTAAAATGTTAAACAAAGATAAGTAATATCAATAATTTTATTCTGTACTGGATTTTTAATCTTGGGCTATCGTTGGATATTTAGCGTATGGTGGAAACGATACAGTCACCGGTACAAGAAATATAGACCGAGTATAAATATTTTAAGTTTTAGTTTTAGGAAATTATTTATTATTAAGTGTATTACACAGGTTGAACAGCGTATGGAGTGAAATCGACCATCGTTTCTTGCCTTACTTTCAAATAGGCTGATTTGTGGAGAAAAGTGGAATAACATCGAAGTTGATTTCCGTAAACTATTAGTTGATTCAATGCCAAAGGGTATAATAATAGAAGAATTATGTATGTACATGTATTAATTTTGACATTCCTTAAAAACAAACCTCTTTGTACATGTACCTTCTTCCGGTTAGTTTTGACGGATCGCTAAAAAAAGTTTTATTTATTTTTTCCTAATCTATTTGTAATTCGGATCTTGTCTTTCTTTTGTGGTCTATTATTTTTGTGAGCTACTGTCGTATAACTATGCTGTGCTACTAATGTAGAGAATTCTTTTTTGGATTGTATACAGTATATAATCATAAAAGGTTGTAAATTAAATGTTTGAAGTAAAAGTTATTTTCTTTTGTATTTTGACAGTTCATAATGAAATCAATAAACAATCGCTACAAAACTTTATTCCGATTTTTTTTGTTTCGATTTTATTTTCTTTGTTTCATTAATAAATGCGCAATCAAACTATCAGCCTAACGCGCGTTAATATGGCCAGAAATTGGAACATTTATCGACAACAAAATTATAGTCTTTGATAGTTATGACTTTGGCATTAATGATACAAAAGCTTTTTTCTTAGACCTTTCTGTAAACTGGACCACATCAACACCAGCTTTCAATAAAATTAATAATCTATTCAATGTACCAATGTTTGATTTTACTACTTTTAGTGCACTTAACAAAAGTGGACTTTCGTTAATATATGCTTATGGTGGATTAATTGTAGGTATAATTGTACAATGAATACTTGGCTACTACCTATTTAATTATTTATTCATTTTAATTATATGAATAGCCAAACAATATTGATGACTGGACTAGCGGGACTTTCGTGAAAGATTTTTATAAGGTTGATGTAACGTCTTATCCATTTTCAATCTCACCTGTTATATCTGGAGGTATTTCACCAGGCCCACTCTGTGACCATAAATCGATTTTTGATGACAAAGGAAAGCTTTATATCTGGGGTGGGCAAACTGCTTATATAAAAGATCAAACCATGTATATATTTGACACTTTTGACTCAACATGGAGTCAGATTCTTCCTTTATATGTTCCCGCACAAAGATCGAGTTATACAGCAACTTTCAAGAATGGCAAAATTTATTTTATTGGTGGCATTTTTCAAGCAGTATATATGTCGATATTCACGAAGTATTGCATGCTTTATATTAATTTTTTGTTAAATGCAGCATAACATTTTAAAATTTCTCTTCTTTTAAAGATTTTGATATATGATATAGATACAAATGATCCATGGACTATAAATGTAAGAGAGCTTTGTGAAAATTATCTTTTACAATAAGCTATTTAATTAATTTCTAGTATGCAACAAATAATTTTAATATAAGTAATCGTTATGCTCACTCGGCCGTTCTAGGTAAGTATTTTAATATAATAAATATTTTATTATTATTTCAATATTTATGAATAATCTGTTATAGCACCCAATAATCAAAGCATTATCCTATATGGTGGCTTAAATCCTAATGACTCAATTCCAGCCGATTATTTGATTACCTTAGACTTGCGAACGTTTGAATTTTCTGAAATTGTAACTAAAAACAAGCCTAGCATTGATGATGTATCAGCATACCATACTACGACTGTCATATATAATAATTATATGATTGTATGTTTCGGTAAGTTTTTATTGAATTACATATATATCGATTGGTATATTTAAAAGATAAAACATATACTAATTTTTCTTTAAATTAAGGAGATTTTCCTGTTAAAAATCCTAATAGAAATGTCATCAGAGTGTTGGACTTGAAAGATTCTACATGGATTGATAACTTTGAAACAATATCAACAAATCCAAGCACAACATCTCAAGTCTCAAATTCTTCAACGAAACCTACACCGCCTAATATACCAACTAACAATGTTAACAAAAATATTATTGTTAGTTCCATAGTCGGATCAATTATATTTGTAAGTTTAAAAGCCTTTTTATTTTACATTTATAGAAAAAAACAAAACCAAACAAATATTGATAATAATGCTGCAGTGCAGAACAACTTAGCAGAAAATAATAATCAAAATAATAATACTGCGGTGCATAACAACTTAGCAGAAAATAATGACAAAATAATAATACTGCGGTACATAACAACTTAGCAGAAATTAAAATAATTTAACAAGCGATTATAGCTTTAGAGATAGTTATGCTTCTTCACTAGCTTTTAAGTCTGAATCATAAGCTCATTAATGAATACAAAATATGTTCTCATAATTAATATTTTTTTATTAATAATCATTTTAAAATCTTATGACTAGTTATTTATATTGATAATTTACTAAACAGAAATAAGTTCATTATATTTTGAATCACGATCCAGATTGTTGCAATATCAACTCTATCAGTTTGATCCTCCAGTTCTTTAGCATAATACGATCTAAATTTATCAAGAAACTTTTTTTACATGTAATGATAATGAAAAATTAAATGCATGTACATGATAGCTTGGAAATATCAAGTGAGTGCAATAATTATTAATATAGTTATAAAAGAAGTATTCACATATGTAGTTTGTTTGCTATCATTTCAAGTGATTCGTATTTTATAAAGGGAACTCAAAAATGGAATATAATACTCATGATTAGAGATGGGCAAATGTGCGCATAGTTCATCACTATGCGTACTATGCGCACTATGTGCATAGTATGCATATGCGCATAGTATACATATAATACACATAATGATCTACATATACATATATAATAATCAATCAAATACATGATGCGAATTCATAAAAATTAATAATGATTTTTATTTTCTATAACTATTATATACATTAATCAATAATTATCACTATCACTCGATATTTCTAATGTATCATCACTATTATCTGATATATTAAATTGTTCATTATCATTACCATCCTGATATTCACTTTCATTATTATCCTGA